ACTCTTTGATACAGAAAAAGGCTGCCCTTTTTTCCGGAAGTGCAAACCTTATTTAGGTTCACCCAACTGCCCGAGTGGCCCCTACAAAACACACGTATTCGTCCCATGTCCAGTTGTTTTCTATTCAATGCAAATATAATGTTTAAACAAAGTAGAATGTCATATAAACACCAATGTTTTAATTCCTACCCACCGCTCATGACGACATTCGCTCTCCGTGAGCCTTGAAGACCGAGTCCCGTGGAGGAGTCCGCCTGCGCCGCCGCTGCAACCAATCAGCGGACAGGGGAGTGTTGAGCGACAAGCAGGGTGGCCAATCAGCTTGAACTGTTCTTTTGAGTGAAATTTGATTGAGCCAATTGTAGTGCGAGATCTTTGTACGTCGTTCGATGGATGACGGCTGGACCAATTGGGTGTCGAGATAGTGGTCAACAGGGGCGTTTCAAAATGAAAAACCGAGAACAAGCGAAGGCCCTATTAAAGGGGGCATTCGGTTTCACTGACGTCCCCAACGTCCAATGTGAATATAGAGGGGCAGGTAGATCAAAACAAGAGTGACAACAGTGCTGATCAGTGAGCTTTGAGTCCATTTAAACTGCCCCATGTTTTATTTCGAGGAGCAGTCCGTTATGGGATAACACAGACTGCAGTAAGCCACTATATAAGTATTTATTTCCTTAAAAATTCGCCTTTAAAATCTCACACTGTGCTGAGGGCACTAACCTACACTTAAAGCATGTGGAATGAATTACGACTCTAGTTTATTATATTTGGAAGTAAAACTAAGCAATACTCACAAACAACAGTCCACACATTTGTGCTTAGCCTCTATTGATTTTGTATGAATTAATATTTCCCTCTGGCTTTATATATGTATATTGTGCCATAGCATTATTTTTCTATTTCATTGTGATGGATTGATATCACTTGTAGTCTATCAAATGTAATAGTGATTATAATTTTTTTAAATACTGCCATAATCTCAAAGTAAACATAGTTTTAATGTATTTTAAATCACAGCAATGCCGCAATACTACATATCTTATACTCAACTGGCTGTTAAAAGCATGATTTCTAGTGATTACTGGCTGCAGTGGTGGAGGAAATCCTGAGATTAATCTACCACACTTTAGAAATACTCTGTTAAAAGGGAAAGTCCTGCACAGAAAATGAACAATAATAGTAATACATTCAAATGACTTGTTTTTGTTTGGAAAAAAGTGACGTAACCAATAAATGTTATGTATATCCTCTAATCCAGGGGGGCCCAACCTTTTTTGAACCAAGAGCTACTTTTAAAGTTGCCAGTCTGCCGAGATCTACCAGTCCAAATAGAGAGACGTAGCCATTACTGACAGCCTACCAGGTAAATACACACTTCTACTTGTATAAAAATGACCTTTGTACGATTAATACTCCATAAAATACTGCAGATCCTTTATCTTAACTCTTTCTAATCTACACACATACAAGTATTTAACTGAAGTTACACAACAGTGTTGTTGATACAGAGTTGGTGTTTATTCACACGTCACTACAGTGGGTAATGTTTTCAAGAAACATTGAACAGTGCTGCCACATGACACAGGAAAAAAAGAAAAGAGTCTGAACCCTTTCTTTGTCATTAAAATTAGGCTTACTAATAAGACAACTCAGATCTGAAGCTACACAGGAATCTGCTGCCAAAGTGCAATAAAAAAGACAAAATTAATAGAATCAAACCCTTTTTTTGTTGCATTTTAGTAGAGTATAAAAATAAATGCCTTTAAAATAGGATGCAAGCAACACTAGTTTCTTAACCTGAATTGATAATAGACTATAATCAATTTAAGTTTGCATTCTTATACCATTTTGTACAATAATTATAATGAATAAGTTCAAACAAACGGTATCCAACTTGAGTTTTTATTATATCAAAAACCTGTTGAAATGCTACTGTTATTTTTACTGTCCCCAAAAAGCGCGTCGCAGCCTCCAGGAATGCTTCTTTCACAACTTCGCCATCTTTGAAAGACTTCATGTGTTTCGCAAGAACGTGACTGACACGATAAGATGCTCTGGTAGCAGCCTTGCTCTTGTTGTTGGCCCTGGTGAAAATGGACTGCTGTGCATTTAGCTGTCCTTTCAGGCCCCTCCCCTTTTGGAGCGTAGGGCAGAATTTGGAGGGAATTCCGTCTCGTAGCGTTTGTGCACTGTTTTGAAATGCCGCTCCTAAATGACTCTTCTTCGATAAAGCCACGCTCGCATTGCAGATGAGACAAATGGACTTTGAATTGGAATAGATACAAAAATAATCATCCTCCCACTCGGAGTGAAAATGATATATTTTGGGCTTTTTTGCTTCTGCCATAAATGTGTGTGTGGACTGTCACTCCTGTTGACACGGACAACGTCAGCGAAATAGTGCCCACTGCCCATCAGCCACGCCCCCACACATGGGGTCACGCCGGCCAATCACAAAGCTTTGGTGCGTTCAAGTACATTATTCTGGCACGGGAAGATTATGTTCTTGGACATTAACGATAAAACGGAATATTGTTGTTCTATTTTTAGACACATCTCGCGATCGACTGGGAATCTCCCCGCGATCGACCGGTCGATCACGATCGACTGGTTGGGCACCCCTGCTCTAATCCTTTCATTCTAATTATTAGTACTGTACCGTGTCGGGCGTGTCGGTTGTGTAATTTATAGCAAAACATCACATTTTAAACCTTTTTCCTATGTTTGATATACAACAGTTATAATTTGTTCAACAACTAAAGCTCTCAGGTAAAAGTAGAGGAGTCAAAGTAGAAAGTGGTATGACAAGTTATGACTCATGTAAAGTGAAATTACTTCAAATGTGTACTTTAGTGCAGTACTTTAGTACTTGGTTACATTCCACCACAGCCTGGCTCTGGCATGTGTGTAATGCAAGCTGTTGTCCATTGAATCCTTTTGTTATTCAACCTGCGCAATGGACTATAAACCCGAAACGCTCATTTGGTGAAGTGTATTCAAAGATTTGTTCTTAAAATGTCACTTCTTGTCACATGATTAGCTCTCTTACTAGCCTTCAGGATTATTGTTAATGTCATTGCATCGCTGCCAGTCTTTAAGGATGTAATCACAATGTGAATTTGCACTATCCTCCTTTAAATGCACTGTTATATCATCTCAAATGTTCATATTATATGTCTATTCTTTGCTAATGTTATGTCTATTTTGTTATGTCTTTTAACTGGTAAATGTATTCTATGTGATATACATTTTCTGTGACAATTTTATGAGATATCAACTGTCTACTTGAAGCACTTTTGACTGCAATTCTATGAAAGGTGCTTATTATCATCTTACCGTCTTGTTGTCCGTCTTTTCCCACACAGATGATTACAACTCAGACTGCTGACTGAACTCAGAGCAGATTTGAACTCAGACCACTCTGTGTCTTTATTATTGTGACGTTGGATCCCAACTCGACGATAGAGGCTGCCATGTTGCACTGTTGGAGGAGCCTGTGACCTAAGTTGTTCATTGCCATATCTACACTGTGGCTAATGTGCACATGACAATAAAGGATGTGTGTACTTTATCTCTGCTCCGTCCCCATCTGTCGTCCACATTCTCAGATCTGGCCTCCAGCATTTTCATCCAACAACGATGGTCTGTCCCTCTCTCCCATTGGGTCACTACCTCGTGTCTCTTTTCACGTCCACCATGCATGCCGGCCCTTTTCATTCTCCCACAGAGTGCACTTGACCTTATTCACCGTGCATCGTGTCTGTGGCTGTGCTGAGTAATCCTCTCCCTGAATTTTTATTTAAAGTGCTCGGGAAACTAGAGTCTTGCTTTTAGCTAAAGCACGGTCTCCCTCTTCACCTGGAGTGTGCAGTAGTTAGCGTTGGAGGATGCAGATATACTGTCTATCACCTTCTCCCCAGGCACCTCTGTGGAGAGCATCAGAGAGAAAGAGCTGCATAATTTACCCGAGATATCTCACTCTTTTTATCACTTAACAAGCTTCATGAGCCAGCCACAGCGATATAGCGCCAGAGTATTCAGCCTTAAACATTTCAAAGTGAATAGCTGCCGTTAAAAATGAAGCACTTGCAGAGGAAGCTCAAACAGAAGAACCTTGTTATATCGTGTTAACTGCTCATCCATGTGATGTCTGCATATGCTCACTGTTATATACTGTTACATTCACTTGCTTTTGTCTGGATATTCCACATTAAACATTTCATATGATGGAATCCATTGACAGAAAATGTATCAGCTAGAATTCTGATCATCTATGGATAAAGTTTGTCATATTTTAAATGGAATGCCTGTTAATTATGTTTCCAGATTACAAAATATAAATATTTACTGTTTTTGACTTATTGTATAATGTCATTAAGTACTCAAGTATTTTACCATCGTACAATTTTGAGGTACGTGTATTTACATTTTTCTATTTTATTCTACAATAGATTTTGGAAGCAAATGTACTACTTTTTTACTATACTTTTGTAAAATATTGGTGACTGGTAGCTTTGAAGAAAAACATTATTTATTTACTCTATAATAAATATGAACATTATTATGGATTAAGCTACAGAGCAAAGATACTTATTTCAGCACCTGTTATTGAAATTCAGTAAAAGTATATCTACTTGAAATTCTAAGTCTGAATTGGGCCATTTCACATTTCACATTTTTGGGGTATTTTAGATTTATACGGTACTAACACTTTTTTGCTATATGACTTTTGAACAGCCATATCCACTGGTGGAGTTAGTTGGACCTCATTTTGTTATATTTTTCAATGTTAACCGCTGTGAATGAAATGTTGGCCTTTTGGAGAAACATCTTGACATCCATTTTTGTTTTCATCTACACAGCTAAATAACATGTGCACAAAGGTTAACCTTTCTGGGCTCGGCAACAGGTCCTTAATATTTCCAATATCCTTATCAAATGAGGAACTCTGCAATATCCACCGCCTTAAAATATCCAAATTTAAAAATGATCCCACACAGCAAAGTTTATTTTTCTTGATTTTTTACTGAAAGCGCTGAGCCAGTAGCCAGCGTCAGGGTACTGAGAAATAGAATGAGCAAAACACACCTGGGCATTTCAACAAATAAATCCGACAGGTAGAGATGAGTCACGGCAGGTACACACACTCTGAGGCAAGGCATTCTGGGAACAAAATGTGGGCTTTTAAACTCCTGGTACCATAACATCGAATTCAGAAAGACAATTACCCTTATAATCCGCTTACCTCTGAATCTAAAAAGGTAAGGTTTCTGTTCTGTGTTCTACCCATCAACATAAGTGCATTATTAATAAATAATAAATAAATAATTTATATAATCTCAACAATAAAAAGTGACATCTTTTTCATTTTTTGCATTCAAAGAGGTGGCTATATTAAATACAACTTCGTTAAAATCAGCTGTTTGTTTTGTTAATTGCATTTCTGAAGATATTCGTATCTTTGGTGTGTTTTTCCAGCTACTATATGTTAAAATCATGTCATAGTGATCAATATTACCAAGTCATCTACCAACATAAGCCTCAATGTACCAGAATGCATTGCAACTCAAGGACATGTTGTGCTATTAGTATCAAAGGTAACTTAATTATTATAATTGGGCGACAAGTTTGCTATATGTATTATATGATTTCAAACAGCAACGCTCATCTTAAGGTTGCCAAGAGGCATTCTGGGAAATGTAGGAAATCAGTTTACATTCCTAAAGTGCATGAAACACAAAGGGACACAAAGCAACAAGATGTTATTTTCTGAACCTATCATTTGATTGGATAGAGATGACATTTTTAGGCGACTACATCAACTAAACATCTCTCATGTCAGAGGGAGATGAAAACAACGTCTTCCTGAAAAACAAAAGGACCGATTTCTGTGACCTGATCAGGGCTCGATGACGGTGTCAAACAAGAGATGCTGGAGGTCAGGATTTGGATTGTTTTGGGATTTTAGAAGATCTGCGGTTGTGCTCATTTAAGGCTGTTTCTGCAGGCTGAATATTTAAGCTTTGCATGTGAGATTTAAAGTGGGGAAAAGTCACATTTCTACATGACACCTTAATGCAGGGAAAAAGCAGCAGAAAAATGGTGATAAGAACGTATGAGCTTGACTCAGATGTTCCGGTTGTTGTTAGTGGATTAAATCTGCCTGTTTTTCATTAGGTATAACAAATACTTTATCTGTTACTGTGGTTTCCATTTCATTTAAAGTGACCTCAGTGGGACAGGTTCATCACTATAGTGTTGAGAAAAAACTAAACAAAAAAACACCCTTTTGCAGACAAAGAAAGCCCAATCTTGGACTCATTTGCCTAAATAAAATGAAATGTTTGTAATACAATCAGGCTCAAAAACACAATAAAAACCATTCAAAGGTTGAGATGTTTATGATGTAAAATCTTCCTCTGAGAAAAACCCTTCCACGTATTTCTATTTTCTGTCATATGTCTCTTTGCTATTAGCATTCCATTAGCACTGTTGCTAACATTTTAAAGGACTTCTTCACCCCCATTTGTATAACAATGAATGACCTCGGTTCACCCTTGAATTCTTAAAAAGACGATATTTTTCTCACATGCCTCCACTGGAGAACAAATTATCTAAAAATGGTGAACATTCTCACACAAAACATTTATTGTTCCTAATTCGTGTGTGTAGACTTGGATTATACTGCACCTGTTGTGTGACATTTTGTAAAAGGATGTTTTAATATAGTTCTGTTGTTGCAGCGCCCAGACATAACCTTAAACAAAGCTTGTAATACAATAAAAAATGGTCAAAAAGTAAGTGATAAAGTGGAGAAGTTTCATGGTGATATTAAATCTATTCTTCTGCAATTTCTTAAAGGATATTTTCGTTAAATCTTGTTTTACTCTAAACCATGAATCTCCACTTAACGATCACTTCCATTCACTTTTCAAATATATTCTTATAAATATTCTAAAGGTTTTTACATCGGGATGTGTTCATATATCATTCATAGCATCATTTATAGATTCCATATTTACTTATTTACTTCAAATCATAACGACTTTTCTCCATTTCATGACTCTTAATCCCCCATGGAGGCATGTGAGTTTAAGGTCACGGGGTGAGATTTTGATTTACAAATGTTCACTTTGAAGCTGAAGTGTCCCTTTAAGATTCCATTTCTTTTAACAAATAAAAACAGGGTAACCTTAGTGCGATTACAGGCCCTCCAACATGGTGGCCTGTCCGTCTTTGACCCCTCGAGAGTGTGAATGCCCGGCCTCGTCGTGTGTATATCTCTTAATCCCAAAACTCTCTTTTTGACAGCATGGAAGGAAAAACAAGGAAACGGCAGCAAACAACAGTTGTACAAATCGACCAGTGCATTGTGTGTTTTTTAAAAGTCCAAGATCAGTAGCATCAGAAAAATCAAGTTCATCGTAATCCTCTTTTTCTCCTCCTTTTAGTTTCCACATGTTTTCTCAGGTGAGAACGTCTCGTCAGTCCCTCTGAAGACGAGGCTGAGTCCTCTGCACCTGAACGTCTCACTGACAGTTTTTCCCGCTGCAAACACTCGTCCGTCTTTTTAAGTTAGTCCGAGTCCAGAGAGAGGCGCGTCCGTCCGAGTCCGACCGGAGACACGGAGACATCCAGGGACTGTGATTGGCTGATGCTGGAAGACTGGCAGACCAGTTCAGATCAGTCCTCCATTCACAAACCTGAGCAGAGACACGGGTAGAAATGTGTATTATTCCTGCATCAAACCTATGTCTCCTGCATGGAACACAAACATCTGTCTACAGTCGTTTTGTATTATACCTGCATCAAACCTGCAACATTAAACCTCTTACATAGAACATAGTCATCTCTTAACACTCTACATATATTTTTTTATGTGTTTATTTTTGGTATTTATTAACTAATTTAATAATTATTACAATAGGAACATTTAAAAAAATGTACATCATCTATTTATCTTACTCTATATTTCACTGTATATGTTTGACTTTATTTCTGCATGTTACGGAAAGATGGAGATAAATATGAACTTTTTAATTTATTCATAATTACAAAATAATCTTGCTCTGTTTTTCATTGTTTACCTATTTTGCATTTTCCTTGTGTCCCCTGCATATGAAACATACATCTGTTTGGAGTCTAAGAATTCATTTATATATTATTACAATACACAGTATTTTAATCCACTGTATAACTGTATGTTTTCTACGGAGCCTCCTAGGGGACATGGAGAAGAAGAAAAAAATGATTTAAAAAAAAAAAAAAAAGTTAGTTTGTAGACGGTCCCTAAGCACTCCTCTCCCTCCTCCAGCTGCAGATTGTGACCAATTATTCATATTTAGCTCTGATGACGGCGCGTATCGAACTGTTCTGATAGAAACGACTCTGTAGCTCGTTGTCTACCTTGCTATGATTGTAAAGTCATGTCTGTATTTTTACAACGTTATGTTCATGAGTTATTGATCCGCTAAACTCGAATCTGTCAATAACTCAGCTCAGAGCGTGCATGTCCCCTCGCTCTGAGTGTTCTCTTGAGGTGTCTTTCACTTATGTGAAACCCGTGCCTATTGCCAAGCACTGATGTTATATCTTTATATTTAAGGCTCAAAGTAAAATCGATGAACCGCTCCATTGTTGTGGTTTCTGTGTTGCCGTAGAAAAAATTGTTTTTCTTCTTCTCCATGTCCCCTAGGGCGCTCCGTACCATGTCCCCTAGGGTGCTCCGTACCATGTCCCCTAGGGGGCTCCGTACGGCTCCGTACCATGTCCCCTAGGGCGCTCCGTACCATGTCCCCTAGGGGGCTCCGTACGGCTCCGTACCATGTCCCCTAGGGGGCTCCGTACCATGTCCCTTAGGGGGCTCCGTACCATGTCCCCTAGGGGGCTCCGTAGTTTTCTTTAATTTGACATGCATACAGTTCAATTACTTTTGCATTGTACTAGCATAATTGTGTCTCTTGCACTATTCTTATACTATTTCTATTTATGTCTCAAGGATAGCATGTTAGCGTTGTTGAAGGAGCCTGACACCTAATATTTACGTTGCCAACAAATGTGCATATAACAACAAAGCCTCTGAATATTTTAATCCCTGAGATTTTTAGGTAAATGAATCGAAGCTGCGTTCACATGTTCCTATCTATACTAAACATTTCAAATGAGTTAGTTGTGTGTGAATCTGATGAGTCATGTCAGTTAAATATATAATTATACTTTATATTTCCTCACTTGAGCTGCGAGGATCTCTGCTGCTACGTCTGCGACTCGGCCTCCTGCCCGCCCCCCGCCCTCCGGACGCTCTTGATGGACAGGTACGTCTCCTCCTCAGGGTCGTAGTAATAAAACTTACTCAGGTACGATATTAGCGGTCTGAGGAAAGAAGGGGAAGAACAACAATCAGATATTTGTGCCTGTAAAGAATTGTTTAATTGTTCTAAATGAACGGTGTCTGAAACTCTAAATTCAGCAAAAGTTAGCATCACATAACTATAAAGCCTAACTTCCATAAGTAAACAAACCGTCTAAAAATAACTTTTAATACAAAAGAAAATGTGTATTTCTTGAATGTCGTACCTTATTCACCTGTATTTTATATCAAAATGTGTGGAATTTCTTTAAAGGCTTGTTCACACATCATTAAGAGACACATCTCATTCCCAGCATCTTCTGATGTATGGAGGGATACAAGCAGATCTCCAGCATCCCCTCTGGGTTTTAAATGGTCAACAACAGGTGAATATTTAACTGTTTTTCTGTAGTTTTCAAGCAGTACCTGGGCAGTGGAAGCTCCTGGATGTGGTCGATGCGGACCATTTGTCGGATGCAGAAGCGACAGAGATGTTGCAGAGACTTCACGTTGCTGAAGCGGGAAACAGGATACAGAAGCTGCACCGGGGTGGGAGGAAGCCCTGCAACACACACACATATTCATTATTAATTTATACACCTGAGCATCAGCAGGAGAGGACTCTTTAAAGTAGAGACACTACATACTGATATACACCTGAACATCAGCAGGAGAGCACTCTTTAAAGTAGAGACACTACATACTGATATACACCTGAACATCAGCAGGAGAGGACTCTTTAAAGTAGAGACACTACATACTGATATACACCTGAACATCAGCAGGAGAGGACTCTTTAAAGTAGAGACACTACATACTGATATACACCTGAACATCAGCAGGAGAGGACTCTTTAAAGTAGAGACACTACATACTGATATACACCTGAACATCAGCAGGAGAGGACTCTTTAAAGTAGAGACACTACATACTGATATACACCTGAACATCAGCAGGAGAGGACTCTTTAAAGTAGAGACACTACATACTGATATACACCTGGACATCAGCAGGAGAGGACTCTTTAAAGTAGAGACACTACAAACTGATATACACCTGAACATCAGCAGGAGAGGACTCTTTAAAGTAGTGACACTACATACTGATATACACCTGAGCATCAGCAGGAGAGGACTCTTTAAAGTAGAGACACTACATACTGATATACACCTGAACATCAGCAGGAGAGGACTCTTTAAAGTAGAGACTCTACATACTGATATACACCTGAACATCAGCAGGAGAGGACTCTTTAAAGTAGAGACACTACATACTGATATACACCTGAACATCAGCAGGAGAGGACTCTTTAAAGTAGAGACACTACAAACTGATATACACCTGAGCATCAGCAGGAGAGGACTCTTTAAAGTAGAGACACTACATACTGATATACACCTGAACATCAGCAGGAGAGGACTCTTTAAAGTAGAGACACTACATACTGATATACACCTGAACATCAGCAGGAGAGGACTCTTTAAAGTAGAGACACTACATACTGATCTACACCTGAACATCAGCAGGAGAGGACTCTTTAAAGTAGAGACACTACATACTGATATACACCTGAACATCAGCAGGAGAGGACTCTTTAAAGTAGAGACACTACATACTGATATACACCTGAACATCAGCAGGAGAGGACTCTTTAAAGTAGAGACACTACATACTGATATACACCTGGACATCAGCAGGAGAGGACTCTTTAAAGTAGAGACACTACATACTGATATACACCTGAACATCAGCAGGAGAGGACTCTTTAAAGTAGAGACACTACATACTGATATACACCTGAACATCAGCAGGAGAGGATTCTTTCAAGTAGAGACACTACATACTGATATACACCTGAACATCAGCAGGAGAGGACTCTTTAAAGTAGAGACACTATATACTGATATACACCTGAACATCAGCAGGAGAGGACTCTTTAAAGTAGAGACACTACATACTGATATACACCTGAACATCAGCAGGAGAGGACTCTTTAAAGTAGAGACACTACATACTGATATACACCTAAACATCAGCAGGAGAGGACTCTTTAAAGTAGAGACACTACATACTGATATACACCTGAACATCAGCAGGAGAGGACTCTTTAAAGTAGAGGTATAATACAGATATGAACCTGAAAATGAGCAGATTAATTCCTCTTCCTGTCGTTGGTATACTAGTTATCTAAATCTCCAAATCCTCCCTCAGAGCTGATGTTTAAAAACCAAACCGTGAGCTGAATTTTAAAACATAAATCA